CTGGGTACACGGTCCCTTTTGGGATCATCTCTGGAGTTGCCGAGAAAAAAGGACACGGATGTGTAGGTATTTGTCACCCTGGCCTCCAGTACGTTTGCTCTCCAGGGAGCCTCTTGGTGATCTGCTTTTCGCTTCTCAACAAAGCCTAAATGAAAGTTCGCATCGTACCTCTGACAGGCTACAGATTGCGTTTCTATCGACTGCTATAGTGCTTACTTTAAAAACATCAGCTGTCAGTTAAAGGCTAAAAATGAGATAATTTTCAGTTGATGATAGCGTAGTATAGAGCATTCCCTCTCTTCCTGAATAACTTAAGGAATTTCCAGAATTTTAAATTTGCTTAGCCAGCCCCAGAGCTTATCATTTTTTTCTTTTGTATTCCCGCAGTGCATATGTAGTCAGCTCTTAATGTGTTTATGGTTTCTAGTACAGTAGCACCTGTTTAACTGCTCTTCCTGTGCAGACCTGCTTCATATGTATGAGTGTTGCTTGTATGGGTTTTCTGAATGCTTTTATGGGGACAAATAGTAATATGTCAAAAGAATTTTCTTTTGTGGAATGAATAAATCAGACTTCATTAATGAAGGGTAATTTATGTTATAAATAATTAGGATTCCAAAACTAATTAAATGAAGCCTTATTTTAAAAGAGGTTTTATTTTCGTGAAAGCCTTGCAGTCAGTAGAAGATAATCTTTAATTTAATAGAGGGGGGAGTGAGTGTCTACCAGCTCCTCCAGGTACAAGTTACATCATCGACTCAGAGTTACAGAAAGATAAGTTCAGATCAGAATCTGGGCCAGACTGGGTGTGTTTGATAGTGGTGTTCACAGTGGCTCTTCTGGGGTCATACTGCTCCAGTTTGAACCGGTAATTTGCCTAAGTGCTGAGTTCTAGATTGGAGATCATTTTCCGTCAGAATTTTAAAGCCATTGCTTTATCGATTTCCTGCTTTCAGTGTTGCTGAAGCCATTTTGATTCATGATCCTTTGGATATGACGCATGTTTTCCCCCCCCTTTTTCTCTCATTTCTCTGAAAATGTGCAGCATCTTCTATTTCTGGTGTTCTGACATGTGACATGTTGTCCTTTTGTCTGTCCTTTTCCAGGTATTGTGTTGAGGACTTAATTGGCATTTTGGCTAGACTCTAGAGAATCATGCCTTTCAGTTCTGGTGAATTTTCTTTGGATATTGGAAAGCTTTCTCCCCTCTGTGTTTTGAAGGGAACAGGATGTCTGTTTTACCTGGTATTTTGATGCTGAATCTTTTTACTTGTCTCATTTTTATATCTGTTTTTCTTCTACTTTTTCTTTTTTTGCCCGCCACTTTCTAACTCTTTTTTTTTTTCTTTCTTGGCTTTCTGAAAAAGATAGTCTCAACTTTATTTTCTGTACCTTCTAGTGAATATTTCATTTCCGCTATTACGTTCTTAAAAATTATTCTGACACTTGTTAAAATGACAAAGACGCCTTTATTCATGACTATTGCAGTAGGAGTGTATTAGCCTGCTTGGGCTGCTGTAATAAAATACCATAGACTGGGTGGCTTAAACAGCAGACATTTATTTTCTCACAGTTCTGGGGGCTGGAAGTCTGAGATCAGGTGCCAGCATGGTCGGATTCCGGTGAGGACTCTCGTTCTGGGTTTCAGATGGCTGCCGTTCCGCGGGCCGCTCTAGTGGCCTTTCCCTATAGTGTGTGCATTGAGGTAGAGAGATGTCTCTCTTCCTCTTTTGGTAAGGCTACCAATCCTATTGGATTAGGACCCCACCCTTATGATGTCATTAGCCGTGATTACCTCCTGTCTCCAAATACAGTCACGTGGGCGATTACAGCTTCAACATATGCATGTTTGGGGGGGACACAATTCAGTCCATAGCAGACACATACACTCAGCCTATAACAAAGGGGTATTACAGTAGGGAGAACGATTGGGCTCCACTTTGAATGCAGCAAAGACAGCTGGGGATTTATAGCCAGTGAGCAGAGTGCAGGGGTCAGCGGATGAAAAAGACTAAGTGGAAACAGCACAGGTAGGGGATGCTTGCTCAACTGACTTAAAGGGATTCTTTTTGAAGGCAGATTAAGGATTTATATACCAAAGGTAGGGGATGAGGAACTTGATAAGATATCAAGGGTGAGAGAATTTCTCTAAACCGGCTTAGCAGGATTCTTGCTAAAACTGGCCTCTGTAGGCCGAACAAGGACAGCACAGACTCGAAGGCCTAGCAGAGGCCTCGTCAAGAAGAGGGCTCAGAGGTGCTGTCGTCTCCCTCCTTGTGCACTGATGACTTTAATTTAAAGACTCTTTTTACTGTAGATTTAGGGGTTTGAGGAAGGAGCAGCGTTGGGTGTGTAGCTTTAAATCTGATATCTTAACTGGGAAGCTGCAGTAAGTGGTTCAAAATGGGAAAACAATTTAAATAGTTCAAGGAAATTTGACGTTCTCTTTTGACTTTGTGGGTTTTGCTTCACTGTGATTTTTTTCTTCAGATACCTCATGATTCCTAAATGATCCCTCATGACTATTCTATAATTTCCCTTTGTATTTAGAACTATCACAAGACCGTTTACTTGACATTTAGTGGTGGCTTCGAACAAGGGATATGGGGGACTGTAAGGGAAGAGGTGTCGCTAGCATCTGTTGGGTGCCATTAGAATGGGGATCTCAGTTTTACGTCACTTAATCCTCATAGCAATTCTGTAAGGTAAGTGATATTGTCACTTATGGGTAAGGATAAAGATAATGATCAGAGAGATTAAGTAACTTACTTAAGAGCTAGTCAGACAGTGGTGGAGCTTAATTTCAAGCCTAGGTTTTAAGACCTTTCAAGTCTTTCTAGGAGAGCATCTCCTTTTACTCCTCGCAAGCTGTGTGAACAGTTCATTCAGTCACTCGGTGAAGGTTGGGTTGCCTGCTCCGTGCTGGGCCTTGGCGACACCTGAGGGCTAGGCCATGCCCTGATAATACAGGAATATCACGATCAGACTTACTTTCAGTAGGATTTCTGGTGATCTGTGCATACTGGCAAGAGTGGGAGCAGGTGGCTGAGTTAATTACAGGAGTCCTGGTAAAAGGCCATGTTGGTTTTGACCAGGAAGGCAGAGCAGATCCAGGGAAGTGGGTGGATTTGAGATACCCTGTTGGAGGTTAGGGGGCCGACAGGATTAGGGGGTGATAGGGGTTTGGAAGGAGCTGGAAGAATTGAGCATGACTCTGGGTTTGATTTAAAATGAATGGTGTTGGTGCCTTTAGTGATATAATGAATGTGGTGGAACAGAGTAATAATATAATAATAACAATGTTACATCTGTTAGATATCTCCATGAGGAGGTGTCCAGTATGCAGGTTAAACACCTGGGAACTCAGTGGTGCTGTATAGGCCGGAGAAGTCAATTTGGGCATCACATATATAGATTCTATTTAAAGCATGGGACAAGATATGGTTATTTAGGGAAGGTGTGTGGATGTAGGTGTGTGAAGGTGTGGTAATGCAGATCTGAAGCAGTGTTACTCATTCACTTCTGTGGAGAACCCTCAGTTAATTTCTTAACCCTGAATGGCACTGAAACCTGGTTGCATTTACTGCGTGGGGACAGCAGAAGCCATCCTGTAGCCATGGCATGGAAGCCATTAACTAGCAGGCACGTTGCAGACTTGCCAATAGTTAGCAGTGTTTAGATTGAACTATATACCAGACATCCCTGTCTAACGTGAGAGGCTAGGCCTGATGGAAGGTCCATGTGGGAAATCCCAGATCTGAGAACGCCACACAAGAGGCGAGTTACGGCACATGTGTCTTCTTCAAGTGTAGATAAGTAAGGAAAAGTAAGTTCCCGCTGAGGTGCTGAAACTAGGACGTCTGGGATCACTGACTGGGTGATTCATTATAACACGTTAGTCTCACAGAATCCAAGCTCATTAAAATTAAATATTTTATATGTTATGGACCCTTGGGGATACTCTCAAGACAGAATTGTAAATGTTAGGTCTGAGAATGCCAAGCATGAAAGCAGCTTTCTAGGAATGCTTGAAAAACTAGCCTAGAGTTCAAAATAGGCAAAACCTGGAAACAATATAAACGTTCATGTCCAGGACAGCCGGTAGACAACTGTGCATGTGATTCAGTGGGTTAGTGTACACAGCAGCTTCGCTGCACGTCAGAACATTTTGCTGAATGAGAGAAGCCATACGCAGAAGCATGCGTACTTAACGGTGGGTGCCTCTGGAGGTAGGGATTGACCAGAAGGAGGCACAAGGGAACTTTCTGGTGAGATGGAAATGTTCTGTCTGTTGATTGGGGTGTTTGTTTGAACGGGTATGTCCAGGTGTGGAAACTCATCAACTTGTATCCTTGGAATTTGTACATTTCACTGTAAGTTTTATTACCTCAGTAACAAAATAAGAAGACAACAAAGCAGTATGCTCAGTGGTTCTGTGGGTATCCCTCTAGGGAGCACAGGGGTGGGGCATCCGTGTAGTCTCAGCTTGTCAGGGAAAGGCTCCCAGAGGAAGTAACCTCTCCTGTGTCTCATTTTTATCCCTCAGGGTCTAAGATAGACTTATTGTTCAAGTCTTAGCCAACTCCACACAATAACATCTCCTCTTCGGATGACTGTTTAATTTATTGTGCAATCGGGAATACTTCAGGCAGTAAAAAGGAGTGCTAGTATAGATTACAGTGGGCAAGAGGTAAAAACTGTGACCATTGGCTCTCTCCTTCTGCGTTGCTCAAAGCATAGCTGGTTCTCACTGCAGTCACCACCGAAGGAAGATGGTGGCAAAGCAGGTGTTCCCGGCGGGTAGAGCAGCCTCTGCTTGGTCCCCCTGTACAGGTGGTACAGGGGTGGGTGCAGCGGGATGGCAGGGGATGGGGATTACCCCTGCAGGGGTGCTCGTGTGTTTCTAAGAATTGCGATTTACGTGTTAACTGAAAAAAAGATTGTTATCTTTTTTCATTTCCAGAGTTACTCACGTTGCTTTGTTCGTTCCTTTGAAACAGGAGATAGTGGATAGCTCCCTTCAGAAATGGAGGACGGGAAGCCCGTTTGGGCGCCGCACCCTACGGATGGATTTCAGATGGGCAATATCGTGGATATTGGCCCTGACAGCTTAACGATTGAACCCTTGAACCAAAAAGGCAAGGTAAGAAGTTTCTCAGAAAGATTTCAGAATTTGATTTGTGTCTGTAGGTATCTCCCTTTTTCAATGAGGTAGGTATTTTTTTAGCACAGTATAGGGGAAAGCAGTTTTCTGGTCAGTGAATCCTACTTTTCTCCTGAGTTGTGTGATTAAATCAGAAGTGCATACCCTAGGGGGAAAACGGTGTCCCATCGTAAAATCAGACAGTAATTTAGTGAGCCTTTCATTAGCATATTCTTAAGAAGAAATAGCTATATGACAAAATATAAACAATAACATTTTTTATTCCTTAAGCCATATAACTAAAGTTATGAATATATCTGTGATGTATTCAACATGTTACCAAGTAAAAATATAAAAAGTGAATGGGATTATGTTATGAAATTTTGCTTTTTGTTTTTTAGCTTCTGGATAATTCTTTTTTAATCTTTTTTTATTGAAGTATAGTTGATTTACAATGTTGTGTTAATTTCTGCTGTACAGCAAAGTGATTCAGGTATACACATATACACACTTTTTTTAAATATTCTTTTCCATTATGGTTTATCACAGGATATTGAATATAGTTCTCTGTGCTGTACAGTAGGACCTTGTTTATTTATTTTAAAGTTTATGTATTTTATTTTTGGCTGCGTTGGGCCTTCGTTGCTGTGCACAGGCTTTCTCTAGTTGCGGCGAGCGGGGGCTACTCTTCGTCGTGGTGCACAGGCTTCTCATTGCAGTGGCTTCTCTTGTTGCGGAGCACGGGCTCTAGGTGCACGGGCTTCAGTAGTTGTGGCTTGCGGGCTCTAGAGAGCAGGCTCAGTAGTTGTGGCGCACGGGCTCAGTTGCTCTGTGGCATTTGGGATCTTCGCGGACCAGGGATCAAACCCATGTCCCCTGCATGGGCAGGCGGATTCTTAACCACTACGCCACCAGGGAAGCCCGACCTTGTTGTTTATCCATTCTATATATAATAGCTTACATCTGCTGTTAATTATTTTTTAAAAAGCTTTTATATTTACTTAAATTTATTATCATGTGATTGTAGTGAAAATATTTCTATTAAATAAAGATATTTAAGTCTTAAGCATAACCGTCTGTTATTTTTGTTGTAATGGTACTTTTTAAAACATAAAAGCGTACTTTAATTTTGTACACATGATGTCTATTTCCTTTTAGGCTTAGACATAGACTAGACAATATAACAAAGTGAAAAGTATGGGGGAAAAGTGACCTGGAGTCTTTTCAGCCTTCATGGGGACTGTAGGGCCTACCTATTTTGTGGGAGAGCTTAACACTTTTCAGTTTAATCAGTGTTCCCCTTAAGCAGGACTTCTGACTAAATTAAATTTGTTGATGTCATTTCTGTTTACTTTAGACTCTGCCAGTGTTCATGAATAATTTATGTTCTACTGATACATGGTTAACTAGTGCCATATGACTGCCATCCTTCTGGGAACCTTAGAAAAACAAGGTGGATCTCTCATGAGGTCTGTTCACAGAGAAAACTATTCTGTTACTGTAAACAACCCAGGAACCTAAATGCATAATATATAATGTGCCATGTTAGCGGCGGCCAATTAAAGATACCCTCAGGAAAGAAAAGACAAAGTGTTTCTAGTTTTTCCTCTTATTAACAAGTACCTATTTGTACTTACAATGCAGTACATGTTCTAAAAAAAGAAAGAATTTAAAAAAAGAAACTCAATTATTTTTATTTATTTGAAGCTGTAGGGGAGGAAAAATTTTCCTCTACCCTTTTGGGTCTCTGGCTGGGCCTGAAAATTAAATGGCCATAAGACACATTCACAGTAGGAAAGCATATGACTTTTATCAGATTTTTACATGTACACAGCAGCCTTCACAAGAGAATGAAGAATTGAAGAAGTGACCAGAGCAGGAAGCTTTTATATCTTTTAGACAAAGAAACAATACATTTGTGAAGAATTGATAAGGCAAGGGGGTCTGGGCTAGGGGTGGTAAATGGTGGAGAAGTGGTTAGGAAGGTAAGGGTTACTCTGGCAAGACAAGGTTTGTTTGCACAGATTTCTCTTGGTCTCCATTCCCTCCGCTGGTGATAAGAATGTCTTCTTTCCTCCCGGTAGAGCGAGGGCACCTTGCACGCGGGAGTTTTATCTCCTGCTCTCAGGAATAAAAAGGGTCAGAGTGCCCTTCTTACATCTGTTGTTTCTCAAGGGCCTTTAACTCAAGATAATCAGTATGCCAAAGTAGCATGTTCTGGGGTGACAGAAATTTAGTGAGCCTTTCATTATCTTTCAAAGTCTCCTTTCATTTTTGTTTAACATATCTTATAAGCACAGTAAATCAAAAGCCCCAAATGAAATGAAAAGTATATTTCCTAGTTCTGTGTCGTTATATGTATTCTCTAATATCCATAAGTAACAAAATAATTCAGTTCAGGGATAGAAGAAACTTTATCTACGGGTATATGCTTTTTTATAGTTTTAAGTACTTTGTGCTTTCAGCTGTGCCTTATTAGTATTAATCAGGTACACACACAGAACCAATAAAAACACTTAAAATTCAAACTGTGGCGTCATGGAAACTTTATGGATCGTAGATTATTTATAAACTAAAGTGGAAGCTTCTTTTCACAAGATCTTTTCGAAAGTTAACCAATTCTCAGGGATTTCTTTTCATCTTAATCCTCTCCCTGCCCCCACTTTCTGATCAGGGTCTTAATAAATTGTGAAGTGTCATAACAACCGTGTGGTTAAAAAGATCCGTAAGAGAAGCAGTCTTTTGTGTAGATGATTCATGGAGTAGAGATCGTCAGCGTTTAAAAATGAAGGAAGTGCGTGAAGCAACGGACAAGTCAAGTGGATCTGTTTGCTGATACAGTAGAAGCATAGAAGAGGGAGTGATGAGCTCTAGTGGGGAACCTGTCTTTGTTGATGGCAGTGCCTTTTAAAGTTTTTCAGTCATGGCCCGTCGTAAGAAATAGATTTGAAATCGCATTAGGTATACGTATTATTCATGTGTGTGTACGTGTGTACTGACGACACATAGATTTTACATGTCAACAAGCATATGTATCGTGTGTGTGTGTATTCAAATGCAACATCCTTACCGTCTGTGATGCATTCTGATATTTTCTAATATCTTTTATTCTGCTAAAAATGCCATCTTGAACCTCTCAGTTGATTTCATGTTGCATATTCGCAGCTGACTGGCCTTCAGGCTAAAGCCCTAAACACATGGCATTAAGGGTCTACCTTTCCTTTTCCCTGTGTTGCTCGTCTTGTCTTTTGTCGACCAGCAGTCTCCCCCTCATTCTCTTGCCCTTATGCTGAGTCTTATGTGTCTTTCTCCTCCTCTTCCAGCCTTCCTCCCAGGGTTTATCAGGTCCTCAGGGAGCCATGTGGTGCTGGGCTCTGTGTGTCGCCACTCACAGTACTCCTTTTGCCTGGAATGCCGCTCTCCGCAGCTCTGTGCTTATTTAGCAAATATTCATCTCTCAGGAGCGACTGAGGTCACCTCCTTTATGAAAGTTTTCCACAGATGCCCTGTGTCTTCCTCCTCCTTACATGCAGTAGAGTTTACCGTTGATTACTCTTTGCTTTGAGGAGTGGTATACCTTCTTCGCCTCCCATAACGCTATTGGAGACATTCGTTTACATTTCTCCCCTCCCTGCTAGACTGCAGTCTTCTCAAGTGCAGGCACTATTTTCTTTGTCCATGTTGTCATGGAGCTGGGTGCACTGTGTTTGCTGGGTGGTAGGTGTTTACTGTGATCTCTTGATAGGAGAAAAAGCCTCCTTCCTCTAAGAGAAAACAGTTGCCTCAATGAAACAGATTTCCTCCTTCTCACTGAGTAGGTAGTAGAGGGGAGAAGATGATGGGGGCTGGTGATCATTTGGGGGGTGAAAAAGGATCGAGAGAAACAGTTTTTTAGACTCATTACAGGCCTTTCAGCCCCAAGATTATTAACCTTCCCATTCTAGGAGCTCTGTGTCCTGCACCCCATTTATGGAGCCAACACCTGGGGTTTAGCCCCATTGCTGAGGCTGTGAAAGTGGCACGTAGATCTGTGATATTAGCGGTGATTTCTGAACGTCTTTTCCCTGTAGAATCATTGTTATAAATTGTGGATTGTTTTATAAGTACCATAATATACTTAATGTACGTTATGGACTAGTTCTGAATTTGTGATTTCTCCTTTAAACCTTTCCTCATTTATAACGTTAAGAACATGTGTAGTGGGTTCCAACTAATTAACTTCTAGAGTTTTCAGGGCATAACAGTTTTCTAATTTGGGTGTGACTTTGAATTGAGGTATAGCACTAGTAGCCTGGATTTTCCTCTGTAAACTACAGCAGTAGCCTTGCCTTATACTCTTGCATATATATACATACACAGGCCTGCAAGTATTCTAAAATAATTGAACAGGTTTTCCTTAGAGATTGGTTTGATATGGATGGAAACTTCAACCACAGGAATAATTGTAATTGTTTGAGAAATAGAAATGTATAGGTAACTATTAGAATGGCATGGAGAAAATTTAATTCTCTTTCGATGTAATTTGAGATCATTTCTTCTCTCTTACAAGATACTATCTTAATTCTAGAGTTTCTACCATAGTATTTAAATGATATAATAAACACCAGCTTATTCATGGATATCTGTAATGTTATGGACCTAATAGTTTCGGATACTGTTTATATTTTTGACACATTCCTGTACAGGAATTTGTGTCTAATGTGTTTTACTCAGACAAGAGCATTAATTAAATTATGGTCTCTTGGTATATCTGATTGATTGATTGGATGTTACTTTTTTCCTTTTTTAAAACAATAAAATTGCTGTATACATAAACATTAACATTTTTATTTTTTTGAAAAGTTGTTAAACAGCCTACCTATGTAGACGTAATATACTTCTTGTTTTGTCCCACTCTAGGTGTTCCAGCACAGGTTTTGTTTTTGTTTTATTGATTTCCATTATTGATTCCATGTTCATAGTAATAATGGATAATATGTTTGAGTAATGACTTGTTAAGTAGTAGGATCTTGTATTACATTTTAATGAAGAGCATATCATTGCCATTATTTTCAATGTATGCAGTCAGTTAAGCTCCTTTATCTTTCTTATTATTTGTAAGCTTCTAGTTTAATGAGCTCTTGTTTTGTTTTTCAGACATTTCTGGCTCTCATAAACCAAGTGTTCCCTGCAGAAGAGGACAGTAAAAAAGATGTGGAAGATAACTGTAAGTATCAATTTAAACAGTAGTTCTCATCATAGAAAAGGAAACTGTTCCTTCAAAAAATATACGAGTGATTATATTACAGGGCACACTGTCCTTGTTCAGAAGAAATGTTGCCTTTTGACCTGAAGCTTCCTGTGAATGGAGGAGCCCCACAGTCCTAGATGCACTGTTCTCTCACATTTGCACTTTGGTGAAGGGGTCTCTCCTGAATATCTTTTTAGTGTTATCTCAGTTGTGTAAATACAGGGAATGGTAATCATTTACGAACTATGAAGCCTGAAATAAAGATCTCTTGGTTTTATGGGGTTTTTTGTTTTTTGAACCTCTGAATCATCTGGAATCAGATGATTTTTATTGCTGTATATGTGGTTCAATAATTTGGAAGTTGAGTCAGGAGGACCCATTTAGTGTCACCCTTTGAAGGAAACAAACATTAAAAAAAATACTATGTAATAAGTACTAACTGAAAATTGATTTCAGAACGTTGGACTAAAGTGCAGCATTAATTTGACTTATCTAGAATAATCTAGAATAACTCTCTTAGAATTTTTGGTGAAAAAATACTGTATCCAGAGCAATAGGCCATGTTTATTCTTACATTTTCAAGATAAAGTGGTAATCATGTTTCATTTTTTACGTGGCGATATTCAAGAGTCATGTCCAGTTGTCATGGGTTTCGTTAAATGTATCTGGCATTAAAAACTCTGCAATTAAATAAGAGAGGTAGGAGAAAGGAATATATTTTGTTCTTATGGGTTTTCTCTGGAGTTCTCATTTGAGTAAGCCTGTAAGATCCCCCCCCCATGTGACGTGGAATACAGGAGTAATGGGGGAGCCCCGAGTTCAGATTCTCACTGTGTCATTAGGAAGCTGTGTGCCCGTAGGCAGTTTCTCTCTCCCCTTTGAGCTTCTCGTCTGGAAAACAGGAGTAATGATTTTTACGTTTCATGCTTACAGACGATACATTTAAAATGCTTGGTGCAGTGCCTGACCTCTAACAGCCTCTCAATAGATGGTATCTGTTGTTATTAGGTGTAAGAGACTGGGAGAAAAAATGTGGCGCTCCCTTCCTTTCCAAAATTGCTAGAGAGTGTGTCTGATGGGATCATATTTTTCTGAACAGCAATCAGAACAACAACAAAGAGGAACGAGATTCTGTTGTATCTAAAATAAGAGAAAATTCTTTTCTGTTAAAACTTGCTAGGGTATTCAGAATTGGAATCAATCCTTTTCATATATCAAAATAATGTTTTCTGGTTTATATATCCACGTAGAGCTAAACATAATAAATGATGTTGAATTACTTTTAATCCATTTCTTAAATATTTTAAAGCAGTCTCCCTCTGATTGTTTCATGGTGGTGGACTCGTCTGACCGTTTAGTTTTCCCGGTCTTAGTGGAGATTTGCCGCTTCTTGTAGGTGTTGACTCTGGTGATGCCAGACGGCAGGAATGTTGCTGAGGATGTCCCCTGTCCTCACCACACAGTAGTCCAGCCCTACTTGATGTCCCCTTTCTGAAACCACATCATGAATGCAGCTCTGTTGAGTTTAGAATGCAGGTTTTCCAGCGAAAGTGGTTCCATCACTTATTAGTTTAGTCCTTTTGCCTGAGGCTTGGTTGCCCACTCCACCACTGTCCTCCGCCAAGTGACACAGGACGTTGTTTGTTTGGGTCTCACGTGCGTATTTCTAAAATCCTTTCCTCTTCTCTGTATCACGGTAATAATGTGATGATTAAGAGCTTGATGTCGGGGGCTTCCCTGGTGGCGCAGTGGTTGAGAATCTGCCTGCTAATGCAGGGGACACGGGTTCGAGCCCTGGTCTGGGAAGATCCCACATGCTGCGGAGCAACTAGGCCCATGAGCTACAACTACTGAGCCTGCACTCCACAACAAGAGAGGCCGCGATAGTGAAAGGCCCGCGCACCGCAATGAAGAGTGGCCCCCACTTGCCGCAACTAGAGAAAGCCCTCGCACATGAACGAAGACCCAACACAGCAAAAAAATAAAAAAATGAAAAATTAATTAAGAAACTCCTACCCCCAACATCTTAAAAAAAAAAAGAGCTTGATGTCTATAGAGCATCCTGAACTATGTGATAAAGGTTCTGTTGAAACAGACACACGAGTGGACTTCTGATAGTGCCCTCATAATATAGCAAAATTTATTACCTAGTTTTAGCTCCAGGTTTTCTATGTGAAGGGTTGTATGTGTGGAGTTTAGTCTGTTAACTTTGCCTTCTTACTTGACTCTTGAGGATTAATGCCAGAATAGGAAAATAGTTCAGGGATGTGAGGTTGCTAATTAAAATAAGCATTTTTTTGGTGCTAATTTTTAAGCTACTGTTACTTACATGGCATATAATAATCTCCATGAATGATCACTGTTAGAAGTCGAGAATAATAAAGTATAAACTATAATATTGGAAAGAATCCCCAAAGTTGCCTGGTTCACTCTCTTTTTCAGTAATGGAATGACTTCTACAACAATGTAACGATAGAAGTGATTGACTTCTACTGCCTTGAAGTTGTTTGTGGGTTCTTTTTTTTTTTCTCTCAGTGAACCGGGACTGTAACAAATAAGCAGAATCTTAAATGCTTAGATAACTCCCTAGTCAGATTCCTAAATTTAAGAATTGAGTGATATCTAGTCTTCATTAGAAACTTTTGGTGTCCTCAGTATATGTTAATTATACCAGAATTCTTCTTACGGAGTTTATAAAGAAACAAAGACGTTCATTCTTTTATTATGTCTTATTAAAAAGTTTTTAATATCGAGTGTATAGTCAAATCTATGAATAATTAGGCATAAAAGGCGAACAGTTCACCTCAAGTATTGCATGTCAGTAGCCAAACCAAGTAGTCCTGGGGTGGCCACTAGGAGAGGAGGGGGGCGGGGAGGAGGGAATTTGGTGGAGCAGGAAGTGATGTCCAAGACCCTCTGAGCATCCCTAGGTCGTGCCTTCAGGGATGCAGAGGCCCCTGAGACTTAACCGTTTCCCATTCTGGCAAGCTGAGGGTCATACGTGTTCCCTTCTGTCTTTCCTTTTCTATGGCTTTATTTAAATGGAGTAGTCTGAGTAGCATAATTTAAGAGGAAGACCCTCTGATCCAAATTTTTATTGTCATTGGCAGGTATTTCAGCAGTGAGGGATTTTTTTTTTTAACATCTTTATTGGAGTATAATTGCTTTACAATGGTGTGTTAGTTTCTGCTTTATAACACAGTGAATCAGCTATACATATACATATATCCCCATATCTCTTCCCTCTTGCATCTCCCTCCCTCCCACCCTCCCTATCCCACCCCTCTAGGTGGTCACAAAGCACCGAGCTGATCTCCCTGTGCTATGCGGCTGCTTCCCACTAGCTATCTATTTTACGTTTGGTAGTGTATGTATGTACATGCCACTCTCTCACTTTGTCCCAACTTACCCTTCCCCCTCCCCATGTCCTCAGGTCCATTCTCTACGTCTGCGTCTTCATTCCTGTCCTGCCCCTAGGTTCTTAAGAACCATTATTTTTTTAGATTCCATATGTATGTGTTAGCATACGGTATTTGTTTTTCTCTTTCTGACTTACTTCACTCTGTATGACAGACTCTGAGTCCATCCACCTCATTACAAATAGCTCAATTTTGTTTCTTTCTATGGCTGAGTAATATTCTCTTGTATATATGTGCCACATCTTCTTTATCCGTGCATCTGTCTATGGACAACAGTGAGGGATTTATTTAGTTGAATTACCAGATATCCCTGAGAAGACTGGTGGTAAGTATGGGAGGAGGTAAAGAAAGAAGGGCAAGCAGCCATCCACATGCCATGTAGATGTATATGATTAGCTTTTCTAGGGGAGCCGTATCGTGGGGTTAGGCATTCTTACTTACAGGAAGCAGAGAGTAGCAGATAGAGTGTCATGCAGCCAGGCAGTTTCAGAGGAACCTGAGCGATGGGCGAGTGCTTCGATGTTGTGCTTTGCATAAGGAAAGGCAGCCTGTAGATCAAGCTCCTGGGGATGGGGGTGGAAGAAGTGCAGGGGTATGGAAAGTAGGGGACCGAACCCACACGAGATACCCTCTGCTGCCTGCCTTCTCCACATCTTTCCTCAGCTGAAAGGAGAGCTGCCGTTCGACTGTTAGGGGCCTCCACCCACTTCTTACTCTGTATTTTTCTGCTGTAAGTGGCATTAGAAAAGTGAGGCCCGTGTCCTTGCAATGTGAACTGGCTGCATCGTGTGAGTGTAGAAGCATGGGCAGTCTGTTGAGACAGGTAGAGCAACGGGCTCTTGTTTGACAGAATTGGTCGGGTGTTGAATTGTAGGTTATATATACATACAGTGTAGGCATATATACAACTTCAGTGAGGGATCAAGCAAACAAGCAAATGAATCAGGCAGGGCCCTGCCCTCAGGGATAGAAGCCAAAACCAGATATACAAAATTGTCATCACAAGACTGGCATTCTGTGGTACGCACCATAATGCAAGTACAAAGGAGCAAGTAGTCCTAGTGGTGGTGGGGTAGTGAGAATGGGGAGGTGTCATTTGAGGGATAGTCTTTGAACTGACCTTAAAGGATAGGTGGATTTTTGATACCTAGAAATAGAGAGGTGCAGCCCAATGCATGCGTGATAGTTGAGTTTGGTAAATGGTTCAGTCTGCCTGCAGGTTAGACCATATTAAAGGGAGTTATGGAAAATTATATGAAAAGGTCAGTTGAATGCAGGTTTACTAAGGGCCTTGAATATCAGACTTGAACATGGATTTAGTAGTTGACGGAGACCCACTGATGAGTTTTGAGGAAGAGAGAGATTTAGTCAGGGCTCTAGTGTGTTAAGATTAATGCACTGAGCAATCTGGGTGAGAGAGGAGAGAGACTGCGGCAGTAGACAAGTGAGAGGCTGCTGTGATTACAGAAGAGGTGACGACGCCTAAACTGGGATTGGGGCTGTGGAAATGGAAAGAAAGGAGAGACATTTCAGAGACTCAGATTGTGCTAATTTTGAGTGCCTACCATGAAGCTGGTGCTGTGCTATATTCATTACATGTATAAAGACTTGGAAATGGGCTTAGAGCAAGGAGGGGGAGAGAGGATGGTCCTAGTATTGACCAAGGCTTGCAGAATAGATGAGTGGGAAATGGTGGTGCTGATAATGGAAACAGAGTGGTTGGGGGAAGAGTAGGCTTGTCTGCTCAAGTGCGCGGTGGAAACGTGGAAATGGAGCTCAGGGGGCTGAGGGCCGGGGCAGTAGATCAGGCTGGGAGAACAGGTTGTGTCAGAGCGTTAGGAGAACAGACGTTAGGAAAACAAGACTTCTACCCTGATGCTGCTGTCCGTTAGCTGCATATCCTGGTTTAAGACGTACAGATTTCTTCAGGATTCTTGTTTAGTCTATCAGTTGTGAGGCACTGCCTGAATGACACGACCTTCCCATTCTAAAATTTTATCTTTTGTGTTTTTCCTGTAAAATTCTGAGCATCAGATGGGATTAGTGTCATCTACTAATCTTTTTTGTGTCAAAGTGTATTAAAATCAGCGCTGTCTAAAGTAGTTCTTTTTTTCCACTTGAATTGTACTCGGTTTTTTGTACTCACCTGGTACAAACTAGAGGTACTCACCTCACTGGAAATTTATTGTTTAAAAATATCACTGTAACACGTATGTAAACTAGATACATTTTACATCAGCCTCTGGGGTTTACACGTACCAGGAGAAAGATGGAATTGAATCTAACGTAACAGGTGAATTTTAGCTTCGGATCAGAGCGATTCAGATTAAGATGGCATTGTTTTATTTTACTTTCTTTCTTCAAATAGCTAATGATTTACAAATTTTCCATCTCAGGTTCATTAATGTATTTGAATGAAGCCACACTGCTCCATAATATCAAAGTTCGATACAGTAAAGACAGAATTTACGTAAGTATTTTACCTGTGGGTTAAATTTTGTGGGCATAATTATTTTACGTGCTACTGTTTGGTTTTGTTGAGCTTGAAATTTTCTAACAGGAAATCATACTGAACGGAGTGGGAGCTCCATGAGGAGAAGGATTCTTTTCTGATTTATTGCTCCGACACCAGGGCTTAGACCACACATGGTACCTAGTAGACACTTAATATATATTTGCAGAATGAAATAATGAATGCAGAGCATCATCTGATATCGTTCAGACTTAAAACTATCCAATTTGGATATTTAAAAAAAAAGAACACTGCTGATTTTGAGTTTTGATTTTTTAACTTTTGGCATATATCTGTAGATCTGTTTAATTGATGCAGTTTCCACATTGTTCTGCAAAACATTTACGGCAGACTATAAGGCATACGTATTGAAATTAAAAACTTGGAAGACAAAACGGTGTGAATTAGAATAGAAGGCAGTACGTGAGGCAATATCGAGCACACTGAAGTGCTGATCATAGACCCTGAATAGTTGGAATAGTTCATTCCAAATAGATAACTTACCCTAAAAACCCAGGATACTTAAAAATGAAAGACAATGCTTTTAATGGAAATAGGGTTTGTACCGCACCATTCAGATGGATACTTAACTAGTCTGTTTTAATTATAATGATTCATTGGGCACGTATGAGTTCTATATATCCCTTTGTTGGCTGGAGGTAAATTACCACACTGTAGCCCTCCTGTTATAAAGATGGGACTCTTCATTATTTTTGAACGAAGAAAACACATGGCTTCTTTGACACTTCCTAGATCAAATGACATTCTTAATCTTTTATATCACTATCAATTTGCCTAATTGTACTTACTTAATTCTGACTAAATTACCTTTAGTCTTTGCCATCTGTCCAAGTAATGACAGCTGGGAAATAGAACTAATCTAGTCTTTTCCAAAAGAATTTACTTGCTGTCTTTCGGTTATACATAGTTATTAAGTCTTTACTTTGCTCCTTGATTTTTCTCAAAATCAACTAAATAGTGTATTTCGGTTAACATATATATATATACACACACACATATATATATATATATATATGGCTATTCTTATTTAAAAATATATTTAGAAGCAAAATTAGCTTAATCAGCATACTAATATTGAGTATCTAATGTGTGCTAAATGTTGTTTTAGGTACTAAAATAATACAAATTTAAAAAATTTGTTTGTTAAAGCAGCTTAACTTGTAATAAGTCAGTAAAAGTTGATTTAGATGTAACTATCTTTCAAGAAGAACTGGCTACTATTTTTTCTTTCCATGTCTAACATCACTTGGTGCTAGTGGAACGATCTTATTTATTTGAGCAAGTTTTAATTGTTTTAATATCTTTTTCTTGAAGTTTACAAATTTTAAATTACCTTTATAGAATGATCTTATTCAGAGAAATTGAGATACTTTGTTTTCATTTGGGATATTTATAGGAAAGCTTCACACCCATGGGATTTTCGTTGGTCTTTTAAGGCTTCCTGTGCTGCAGTGGCTACATTTGCCGACTGTGACCACTGATAGCTGAAGGTTTACGTGCAGAATTCATTGTACTCTCAAAAAAATTCGTTGTCTTTTTTTCACATCATGTTTAGTTGACCTAAGATGTGTATGCGGTTGGGCATATGACCCATGTGTTAGATAGTGGCTGTTCAGCGTCATCAGCTCCTGTTTGGAAAACCAGTATTTTCAAAGTTAATGAAAGGCGTGACTGGTGGGTTTTTGCCTAGCCAGTTATGCCTTTTAGTTATAAAACCATTAAATATCAGCAATACACAAATAGAGTTATGATTATCATAATATATGTAAGAGAGGGGAGCAGTTCAGAATAGTTTAAATTGGATATTTTTATATGTCTCACCAACAAGAATTGCCAGCATTCTCCCTTAGATTTGAGTAGAACAATAGCTAACTCACATGTAACATTTCCCTTGGTTACTAAAGTCTCTATTACTTTCCTTTTGTTTCCCATAGAAACATTATTATCGGGAATTTCTTATTTTTTACCCAACTCCAGGAAACATCTTTGGGAACATTCATGGAATTTTAGATGAGTAGGCTGAGAGCTCGGGGTTTCTGCATCATTTCCCTTCCACAACTAGAAGCAGAAAAGAGAAAAACATGGTCTTGTGTGCCCTAGTTTGGCCAGTAAACCACAACTAATCGCTAAACCACAACTTTCTTTCTATCCACGAGGAATTTTATAAATCTTATTGGTGGCATTTTTCTGGTCTTTTGAAGCCACAGTGAAATTTCAGATTTAAAAGCAAGCTTCACTTGCTCATTAAACATTTAGCCCGTCAGTATTCTAGGCAATGGTTAGCGCATATGCTGTTTTGCAAAAATCTGGGACCAAGTGGTCACCACTGAGCTAAATCAGTCCTTGGCTTTCAGTGATGGGCATAGGCCTAGAGGGTCCTGTGAGCTATGTTCAACTCTTCAGGGCCTAGAGGGTCCTGTGAGCTATGTTCAACTGTTTAGTAGCAGGGTGAGGAAAGTAGTCTAGGCGAGGAATACAAATAAGCAAAACTCAGGCTGCAGGCGTAGAGTAGATGTCATAAGTGGAGTCAACAGGAGGTGTCTGAGATGGAGGTGTAGACTCAGCTCTGCCCATGCAGACCTGGTAGTGGTGAACCTGGGAGGGGGTGTGTGGGAGGAGCATGTTTCCTTTGAGGCAAAGGGAGGTCAAGAGAGATGATTTTGATTTTGGATGTGCTGAGTTTTAGATGGCTATAGGTTAAGAAGATGTAAATATTTATTAAGAGTTAGAGAAATATGGGTCCTGTAGAGATCAGGGAATATTTAGGTCCAGAAATGCAGATTTAGGAGTTCTACTTATAGAGAGAACTGGGGGTGTCTATTTGCCATGTGTTCTTTCTCCTGTGACCCTTGTTTGGTTTTAAATGAAAACAGTAATTGGAAAATTTTATGTTTATGTCTTTCCCACTTAGACATATGTGGCCAACATTCTGATTGCAGTGAACCCATACTTTGACATACCTAAAATATATTCTTCAGAAACAATAAAGTCGTACCAAGGAAAGTCTCTTGGGACGATGCCACCTCATGTCTTCGCAATTGGTAAGTAATTTAATTGTATCTTAATATTTATTTTTCTTTAACGTGTACAGATTTACTCAGTTTTTCTTTTGGATTAATAAGAGGTACCGTGAATCGAATACGTATTCTGGAGGGCTTGTGTGCATTCTGAATGTGTCACCATGTCAGGAGCGTGTATTCACACAGGGTGGGGAAGAGACTTTTGCGGCCAACTCATGGGGCGGTTGTACCTCATTACCTTTGTTAAGGTAATTACCTTTGTCGTCTTAAGCGTGTCCACCCAGTTGAAAGTAGGTCATAATAAAAGCTGACCTATTGTTTTCTTCTGACTCCACCTGAAAAGTGTCCTCCTTCCACAACTAGGAAGGAGGCCCGGGCTGTCTGCTGTTACCCAGGTCATCACTAGTGAGCGCGTTACCTGGGCTAGAAGGGAGCTGTGAGAGCAGACGTCTTCCATGCTTTGTCCCGCATCAGGGCTCTGTAAAATGTAAAGGATCGACAGTGATACATGCTTCATATCTCTGGGGTATCCGTGTGGAAAGGCAGCAACATCTGTCTTTGTCTTTCTCAGGTGCTCTCTCATCTCAAAGCACTTTAGCTCTGGGGAGCAGAGAGGGAGTTATTTGACAGGCGTCCCCCATAGCTGGTGACTGCAGGTACAGAGATGTTAGCTAAGCCTTGGGATTCAGACATAGCTGGCAGTTAAATGATGACACGTTTTGGTTCTGGTTCTTAGTGCAATTAGTTTCTCTCTGGGCTTTCTCTTTGTACCTGTATTATGGCCTAACCGGGCTTCACCTCTAGATTTGGCTGACCGTGTACTGTGTGCTACTAGGCAAGAGTGAATGTGTACACCAAGTCCAGTGCAGCTGCACATTGACTTCTGGTTCTGTGATGCTCTGATGGGCATGAGTATGTGTTCTGTCAGCCGGCTAAATGGTGCAAAATCCTTAGAACCTCAATGGGAGCAAGTTACATGTTTAAAATGTAAATAAACCGGCTTTTATTTTTAGTTGTTTACTGCTAAAAAAGTTTTTACAAGGATTCCACGAAAGTGGGTGGAATAGATTGCTGATAAATTGGTCAAAGGGATGTGTGAATACCCTTGTGTGTAGTTTGCATTTGGCCCTTAGAGTAAAAGCCATTAGTAGAGCTTTCTTCGCTGGTATGGGTAGCACATGCCTGAGGTGAGAAATAGTTGCCTTATAGGGCTAAGTTTGTCAGGACCTAATTTTTAATCAAAATTGTTTTAATTTGAGCCCACTTTAATAGAATTGAATTGTGCTCATCTTGTCCATGGAGTCTTAAAGACATCTTATAGTCTAAATTGTTGGAGTGTAATGAAGATAGTTAAAAATTGTATATATGAATAATCACAAATCTAAAAAATTTAAAGCAGTTAATTTTGCCTGTTTTTGAAATGCTGAAAAATCCTACACGATGTTTAAATTTAATAGTAGTATTACAGAAAAAAACCCACAGATTTATTGTGCAGTTATGTATTTTTTTTTCTCCAGCAGAAATTTTGGCTGCCAGATTTCTTAATTGGTAGCTCGTTACTTCTTGCTTTTTTGTCCGGGGATGTCATTAGTTATGCATAGTGAGCATTTTTCATCTCTCTGCAGGTCTGCTCTAGTATGAGGAAAAGCTGAGCCACAGCTCATAATACGGAGACATTCTAGTACAAACATAAGAGTTGTTTATTTGATTTCAATTACCTAGCTGTCAGGATAACTAGAGAAAACATTTAACGTATATACCTTTAGAGATGTTTTGAACACTTTTCAATGATTTTATTTAAAAATTTTGGTAACTGTAAACACACATTATAATTTCTTTAGGAGCAAGTGCTTTTTGATAGTAAACGGACTTTCTATGATTTGGAAAATTTTGTATTTAATACACTGTTCATCGTTAATGTATTGTTTTGACCCCAGCTGATAAGGCTTTTCGAGACATGAAGGTGCTCAAGATGAGTCAGTCTGTCATTGTATCTGGAGAATCAGGAGCTGGCAAAACGGAAAATACAAAATTTGTTCTAAGGTGAGGAGTATTTAGCTGACCTAGAACACTTTGAGCAGGTTGATTTTTCTTAATTGTGGTAAAAAAATATATATATAACATAAAATTTACCATCTTAACCACTTCTAAGTGTACAGTTCAGTAGTGCTAAGTATATTCACATTGTTGTTCAGCCAGTCTCCAGAACCTTTCACCTTACAAAACTAAAACTCTGTACCCGTTAAACAACTCCCCGTTTCCCCTGACCCCAGCCCCTGGCAACCACCATTCTACTTCCTGCCTCTATGATTCTGACTACTCTAGATACCTGATATATATAAGTGGATCATATACTTTTTGTTTTTCTGTGGTTGGCTTATCCCCCTATAGCATGATGTCCTTGAGGTTCATCCATGTTGTGGCATGTGTCAGAATTTTCCTCCTTTTCAAGGCTGAGTAATATTCCCTCGTGTGTTATGTATCACATTTCGTTTACCCATTCATTCCTCAGTGGGCCCTTGGGCACTTGGGTTGCTTCCATCTCTTGGGTCTTGTGAATAGTGTTGCCATGAACGTGTTATGAGCAAAGAGTTACAAAGATCTCCTTGAGATTTGAACCTGTTGACTTTGAATACTCTTGCATGCTTTATGACGTAGTTTGAAATGGTGGGCTCTATCCCTTTTACAAGAACAGACATGTGGAAGCTAAGCTGCAGATTGTTGAAATCTAGTTCTGACATGCTATTCTCATGAGGATCCTGGAGAAGACCAGAGCTGGTTAGGCAAAGGGAAATCTTGGAATGTTCCTTCACAATCCAGCCTTTGTGTTCTTTTTTCAATAGTCCTGCCATTAGAGTGGTTGAAACCATTTTTTACCTTAAGTTTATGATGGTTGGCCTTCTTATTTCTACCTCCCCACAACCCTCCTCCCAGTGTCAAAGGTGAATATTTCTGTGTGCAATGTGTGGCATATTTACAACTAAATAGTTGGTTAAAATCAGAATATTCCCAAAAAGTTTTAAAAATAATGCTGATTTAGATGTTAAAGGCCATCCAAATAGAATTTTAAACGTTTAAAAAGCTATAACAGAATAGTAGTTGCATTTAAATATAAATTTGTAGTTTTTAAATAAGCCATTCCAGTGCATGATCCAGGTTTAAATTTTAGATGTATTAAATAATATTAAAATTAGAAAGAGAATGCATGCAATATCATTCTCATCCAGCAATTTTTTAATCCTGTATTTTAAACAGATATCTGACTGAATCGTATGGAACCGGTCAAGACATTGATGATAGAATTGTCGAAGGTATTGTTAATTTTTAAAATTCTTATTTTCCATTGCTAGATATGTCCTGAAATTAACTTAGAAGAATCCTCTCAGTGGTCTGGAGTGTTCTCCAAGAGATCCAAAAGGCTCTGCCATCTCCTACAAATCTTTGCTCAGATGTTATCTTCTCATTTACTTATTGTCTGTTGTCTTCCCCCCCCCCCCCCCCCGCCCCCGCCCGACCCCATGTCCGTGCTAAGAGGGCAGGGATTTTATATATTCCAAACTCCTGGAATAGTGCCTGATACATAGTACACGCTCCATAAATATCTGTCGGATGAATGAGAGGAATATAGGAAGCCCTCCTGCCTCCTGTTTATTTTGTTGACCTTGTTTTTGTAAAGGAGAAAGGGAGAGGGTTATTTGGAAATGAGGTACTGGGGGAAATCATTTTAATGAAAGAGTACACTTGGAAAGCAGGAGTCTGTAAGTTGACTTCCCCAGGCTGTCAGTGCTTGCTCACCCCTTAGAGACTTCTCGGATCCTGTTTGGTCTCCGCTGCCGTCACGCTGAGTCTGCAGCAGCCTCCTGCAGCACGGGTTCCTGTCTGGTCCCCCCTCTTATGGTTTGGCTGCCCTTTAACCTATTCTCTGTGTGGAAGTTGGAGTGACCTCTTTTGCTCTGAGCCCTTTATTGGCTTCGTATTTCTCTCAAGCTAAAACCCCAAATTCACATCATCACCTTCAGTGCGCTGTGTGGCCTGCCCCACCTCCTCTGGTCTGATTGAGTCGTTGTTCCTCTGCAGCCTTATGCTTTAGTCACATTGGTCTCCTTCTAGTTCTCTGAGGTGTTTCAGGCCTCTTTGGACACTCTTCTCACCCCTTCAGTAAGTATTTAATAATGATGATGATACTGACATGTGTGGGATGTGTTAGGCCTTGTCTGATTTGCTTAAAATCTGTTACCTAACTTAAATCTCCATAGAATATGAGGTAAGTACTATTTTATCCCTGCTTCACAGATGAGAAGCTAAGGTAGAAGGAGCTTCAGTAACTTTCTGAAGAGTAAATAAGCTCATCAGTTGTGGAAATGGGACATAAACCCAGGCGTCTTAACTATATGCTCTACTAAGTGCATATTTTAATATTCTTGACATTTTAAAGAAAAATTCCAGTTGAACAAAAATTTATCAGGGGCCTTTTATGTTCATGCATTTTGCTATATCATGGCAGGCAAATGTTACATACATTTTTTTCACACTTATGTAAAATATGCATGTAGATGAATATAAATTTGACTCTAATAAACATTTTTAAAGTTTGCATCCATAAGGTTTTTCATATTTCTTGATATAAATAATTTTCTAATTTTTATCTACAGTTCTCACTGTGGTACTGTGACACACACACCTAGGCAGAGTCACAGTAGAGTACCTTTAGTGAGGGAATTGCCCTTTAAAATTGAATAAATAAATAAAAAACAAATAATGGGTTAATTTAATAAAATACTAATTAATATTCGGACTTGTTTACTTGAGGTACAGATTTGCTTTGAAACCAGATAAGCCTGGTTTCTTCCATGAGAACGTACTGTGCAGTGTGTAACGTGCTGTAGTTGAGGACAGTTGGAAAGTGTTATTCCAAATGTCTCTACAGCCCCGTACTGGAGAATAGTTTATGTTAACTGGCAGGGCCATAGAAATCTTTAGGTGGGAATACATGCTAATATTTCTTTTAGTTTTACTACTTTCTTATTTTAGCAAGTGAAACAACCTGGGAGTGATCTTTCAAAGGGTTTAGTGACTAGTTAAGCTTTCTACTGCGGATAGAGTAAGAGAAATGGACTTTAAAAGATTTCATAAGAAATACTCTAGCAGTAAACATATGAAGCAACTTATGAGGTTATTGAAGGAATATGTGAGTAAGATTGACACTACTCTGGTATGCTTACAGTTAAGACTGGTGAGTACCAGAATAGACTCTAGGAGCTCTTTTCCAGTCAGGTAGAGAGAGAGAGAGGGAGAGAGAGAGACAGAGAGAGAGAAAGAATGTGTGAAATTATAAAATGAAGACAGTTAAAATTTTACATTTGTTCATTGGAATTTCAAGAACTATTGTTCTGAGAAGCTTTCGTAGGTAATTCTGTAAACGCTTATTGGTTAGATTTTGTTGGATGTGCGTGTAAAAATGTTAAATCTGGAGGTTTTATTAATACATATTTTTAAATGTAAGTCAACTAATAACTTCTTGCCTGTATTTCGTCACAGGAAGCTTGCTGCTTTCTTTACTATCATCACTGCTCTTGTAGGGCTGATGTGAAAACCATAACATTTTTAGGGAGTAATTTTTAAAGTTGAGTTATAAATTTTGTAACGTAGTGACTTTTGAAAATTTCGTCTTTCTCATAACACTTCCTTTTTCTTTTTTTTTTTTAATAAATTTTGAGTAACTTTTCCATCTCTTGCACTTTAATAGGGCCCAAACATAGTGGTAGTCAATAAATATTTGTGGGATTTGACATTACAAGTGAATTCATTCATGTTAATGTTTCTGACAATATTTTTCTAGTTATTTATGTTTATTAATAAATGGAAACATACTATGCATTTTGCTTTGTAATTTTCCTTCATGCAAACTTTCTGATGGTGTATTTTCATTTCTTTTTCAATAGCTAACCCACTCTTAGAAGCCTTTGGAAATGCAAAGACTGTTCGCAACAATAATAGCAGTCGATTTGGGAAATTTGTAGAAATACATTTCAATGAAAAGGTAAGTGAGAGTGAGTTTCGGGGTAATATGTTTGGGGAGTGTTTTTGGAAAATACAGGGTCTTGATAGAACTGGTGCTGTACTTGAACTCATGGCAAATATATTTAAATTTTCCTCTTCTACTTTTAAACAGTTGGGATAATATATATGTTCACTGTGATCTCTAGAAATACTATAAACTTACATTTAGTTACTTGTTTTTTCCCCTTTATTTAATAAATTACAACCTCTTTGATAGACAAATGATTATTAGAAAAGATAATTTAACATTGGTAGGTTATACTTTAAGACTTTAAATGCAAAAATGTAATTTCTCTGTTTTGTTTTTTAGAGTTCAGTTGTTGGAGGATTTGTTTCACATTATCTTCTAGAGAAATCTAGGATCTGTGTTCAAGGCAAAGAGGAAAGGAATTATCATATCTTTTATAGGTTGTGTGCCGGTGCTTCTGAAGATACTAGGGAAAGACTTCATTTGAGCTCCCCAGATAATTTTCGGGTAGGTTGGATGAAAAGAAATTTCATACAATTTTTGCAAATTGAGTTGCCTTCTATTCTAAAACTTATTTCAGTGGATTTTGATGTCTAGTTGCATATAACTTACATTAAGTTCAGTGCAATATGAATGTGTACGTTCAGTGTAATAGAATGACTTTCGTACTAAGTAGATCTGTATTGAGATTTACTGCTGAGTTTATAACACTATATGAGGAGGTACATAATGGGATAGGTAAAAGGATAGATGCTAAACCCCTTAAACTCGATAAGAAGTTTATAATAGTTCTGTAATGCTAGCTTTAATGTTACCTTTCACTTATTTGTAAAAAAAAGTTTGACCACTGAATTAATAAAGGACCCCTACCTGTCTTCCTTAATTCAGTTCAACAAATATTTATTCCTTACCCATTGGGTACCAGGCATTGTGCCAGAGTTAAAAAGATAAATGAGACACAGTTCCTGCTTCTGAGTAACTTAAATTGCTGGGAAACGCGCGCACGCACACACACACACACACACACACACACACACACACACACACAGTCTGACTGATATGTCAAATGATAAGTGAGAGAGATGCATAGGGTGCTGGTGAGTTTGGAAAAACTTTACTGGAACAGTTGATGCTTGATCAGAATCCTGAAGGATTTTCAAGTGTTAACTATAACTAGAGGAAGAAACATGCGGAGGTATTCCTGGTAGATGCAAAAAGATGAACAAAGAAAGGCAGGAAATAGCTTAAATGGTAGGACAGGAAGGGGTGGGAGGTGAGGCTAGAGAGCTTAAATGGTAGGACAGGAAGGGGTGGGAGGTGAGGCTAGAGAGTTTGGTCTTCTGTGGTGAGTAGGGAGCTGATCGAAGGGTGTTAAGTAGAAAGTTGGATATCAGGTCTGTACTTACCTCTGGGTTTAATATGGAAGATAGCTTTAAGAGGGTAGGGCAGGGGATGGATAGAAATTGCAGCCGTGGGTAAATGGGTTGGGAACCTGTGGCTTTAGGTGACGTAGCAGTTACTCAGTGCCTGAATTTGTTTTAGCGATGGCAGGGTTACTGAGGGAGGGGATGTGTGAAATAGGAGGAGGTAAAATTGACAGGACTTGGAGACTGAATTAGGTGAGGAGAAGGGGGAGTCTGGAATGATTTCCCAAAACACGATTAGGGTAACTGGGTGACTCTAAGTACCATGTTGAGGCCAGGTGGAAGATGGATGGCGTGTAGGATGAGTCCAGTTTTGGAGCCTGTGGGTCATCTGAGTGGAGCTGCTTGGGAGACTCTTGGGTAGACTAAGATCAGGTCAGTGCTGCAGGGACAGGTTTGGGAGATGTCAGTACCCTGGTGGTAGTCAGAACTGTGACAGTGAGTAGTGGAGGTTGTCCAGAGAGATTGCATAACGTAGAAAAGCATGTGCCGGGATCCACACTCTGGAGTTGAAGAGGCTGAGCAGATGAAGAGTTGCCCCAGAAAGAAAGCACAAGTGGAGTGGTGAGAGAAGTACAAGGAGATCAGGAGTGCCAAGGATCACAAGTCAATATTGAGTTTCAGGAAGTGGTGACTGCGGGGTGGCTAGCGTAATGACAGAGTCTCAGCTAGAAAGTAGTGTCCCTGTGTGGGCTATGGGAATCACGGGGTGCGGGTAGGGAATGCAGTTTGTATGAAGTTCTCCAGGCGATTCTCACACTCCTCTTTGGCCAGAAGTCCTCCATTTGAGAATCATGACACATATTTATACGTAATTATTGTTCTGTGTGTGAGTGTGTGTGTGTGTTTGCAACCTGGCTTCTTCTTTATTACGTCAATCAATTTCTTTTAAGGTATATTTGGAAATTTAAAAACTCTGTTGTTTTAAAATGCTTTATAACTGCATCTATTTATATAATTCTGAAATGTTTAACCTTCTCTAGAACTCACCAAATTAATTGGAATTTGAAGTTAGTTGCTCACATTATCTTCATGACAGTAGAAGAGGCATTTCTCTACAATGATTTTTAGAAAAGGAATATAAATTAATCTGAATCATATAAAATTTAATAATGATGATGTGGCTTTGTCAGCACTGAGTTAATGATAAAGTGATGTGACTATTCTTGTCTTAATATAGCATTTCTTTCTACTTGGGGGCTTGGGAACATAGTTTCTGTGTCTCAGAATGTACAGTCTTTCCTGGCACAAGGATAGCCATCCTAAGGGGGCAGCCACTGAAATGCTTTATCAGGTCAGAGAGTTTCTTGTCTCTGTGGCATGAACTGGGAGAGTCCTTTTGGTGATAAGAGGAAACTCATGGAACAGCATTACCTTTCACCCCAAAACACCTGCCATCTTGGATATTCCTCTCAGGCAGGTGTACACACACCTCTGTATTCCTTCCCCCAAATGATTCTGCCTTAGAGTGACTTAAAAGTGTGTTGGTCATTTCAACAGGCTTTTCTCGGGTTTAGTTTAGACCTCCAGTCATAACTCAGGGGTAAAGTTGTAAAGACAAAGGAAAAACTCTACAGCAGGGTGAACGCTTTCCCCCCCACATTTTTTTGGTCACTATTCTATACAAATTAGTATGTAAAGAATTGTAGAGATACATCTGTTTGAAAGCACCCATATTAACTCCACATGTACTTTAGAAAATAGAAGGTTTAAAATGCTTGTATTTTTCAAAAATTTGAAATATTTTTGCACATGTTCCATGGAAGCATTCGTTATAGTCATGCAAGAATCCTTGAATATAAATAAAGCTTGGATAGAATGAGAATGGGTGACAAGAATAGTTATAGCTTTCTAGTTACAGAAAAGTTAGAAGAAACAAGTATTTTTCTTAGGTTTTAACATCAAGTGCATCTGTCCAAAAGCCAAGTATTTGATAAAACAGTTGGGGCGGGTGGATAAAACTCTTGGTAGCAAAGAAAACATTTGTTTTGGCTCTATATAGTTAAGCTACTATTATCCTACTAAATAAAAGAACTCTGTTTTGAAATAGTCAATTGAAAGTGCTTATCAGTATTATCCCCTCTCCCTTCTATTTTATTCTTTCCCCCAAGATTCTAGGCTACAAAGAAAAATTCACTGCATTATTATTTTCTGGTTTTAACTGTATTTTAATATTTCACTGTAATGGGGGGAGATAAATGTATTGATCATCTAAAGTATTAATTTATCCCTAAATCATTCAAAATTTACTGTAAATTTTTTCTTGGTATATAATATGTTATCGATATATTTAACCTTGGAATTCATGCTATGGGACAGTGGAATCCTAGTGACCTGATTTAAGAAAAGCTGAGATGTTTAAAAAATTTTCTCATCCTGTTCCCTGTGCATGTCCTTCCTGAACGACCCCCACCCTTTAAGTGTGGGTAAAAGATTCTCTTCAAGACCAGTATATTATTTTCTTCTCAGCTGCTTCCCTTATTCTGTGTTTGCAAAGCACTTAGCCTTTAAAGGCTTCTGGGCAGGAAAGTAAATCATCGAGATAAAAGCTGAAATGGTTATTTGAATACCTGTGAAGGTCCATAAAGCAAGTGTTATAATTTATGTACAATTAGTGTTAACTGTCAGTCAGTATGAAAGGCATGTTTTGAAGGACTGATTGTAAAAATCAAAAATTAAGAAACTCAAGAATATTATTTGTTAATTATTCAGAATTTAAAATACTACTCAAAATATTAAACCACAGTGTGGGTCCTTATTTGAGACTTTTCACATATTTAGTTCATATCTTATGAACTGTATCTTCAATAAGATTTAACCCTGAGAATATTTAAAATTGCTACCTTTGAGATGTAAATTCGGGGCCTCAGACGTGAAACCGGGGTCACTGACGTAAATCTGGGGCTCGGACATGAATCCGGGGTGCAGATGCCTGTCAAGCCCAGGCGGAGTCCCTGGTGCACTGGGTGGCGTGGGCGGCGTACATGGCCCAGTTCGGACCCTGAGGACACCAAGCCGCCCTGTGTGCCTCAGGCCACCACCCTGCCCCTCCGGGGACTCCAGGTCCCCACCACCGTGCCCCAGCCAAGCAGTTCCAGGGATGTGGATGTCCGTGTCTTTGGAGGACCATGACTTCGCCTGCCACGTGCTTGCAGGATCTTGGTTCCCAGGCCACAGGTTGGGCCTGAGCTTCTGGGGTGGGAACTCCGAGTCCAAACCGCTGGACTAACAGAACCTCAGACGCCAGGGAATATCAGTTGGAGTGTGGCCTCCTGGAGGTCCTCATCTCAGCATCAAGACCCAGCTATATCCAACTGCCTGCAAACTCCAGTGCTGGACGTCTCAGGCCAAACAACCAGTAAGACAAGAATACAGCACCACCCATCAAAAAAAAAAGTGAGGGGGCTTCCCTGGTGGCACAGTGGTTGAGAGTCCGCCTGCCAATGCAGGGAATGCGGGTTCGTGCCCCGGTCCGGGAGGATCCCACATGCGGAGCGGCTGGGCCTGTGAGCCATGGCCACTGAGCCTGCGCATCCGGGGCCTGTGCTCCACAACGGGAGAGGCCACAGCGGTGAGAGGCCCGCGTACTGCAAAAAAAAAAAAAAAAGTGAAACGCCAAAAACATATGTTACGGATGAAGGAGCAAGGTAAAAACCTACAAGACCAAATAAATGAAGACGAAATAGGCAACCTACCTGAAAAAGAATTCAGAGTAATGATAGTAAAGATGACCCAAAATCTCGGAAATAGAATGGAGAAAACACAAAAAACATTTAACAAGGATCTAGAAGAACTAAAGATGAAACAAACAGGTATGAACAACACAATTACTGAAATTAAAAATACTCTCGAAGGAACCAATAACGGAGTAACTGAGGCAGAAGAACGGATAAGTGAGCTGGAAGATAAAATGGTGGAAATAACAGCCAGGGAGCAGAATAAAGAAAAAAGAATGAAAAGAACTGAGGACAGTCTCAGAGACCTCTGGGACAACAGTAAACACACCAACATTCAAATTATAGGGATCCCAGAAGAAGAAGAGAAAAACAAAGGGTCTGAGAAAATATTTGAAGAGATTATAGT